ATGGGCTGATGAGGCGGCTAGCTCAACCACTGCACTTGCATCTCGAGTTCTTGTTTTTGATGCAAAGCACACATCAGTGTCAAGCGAATCCAGTGTGAGCAAGAACTACTTGTTGTCCTGTTTGCTACGGAGTAACCATACAGACTCGGTGTTTAGGCTTGAAGATTGATTTCCATATGCCTGAGGATGTCAACGCTGGATGACGCGCAGGTATTGCTTGCGAAACCGATACAGAACAAACGGAGCCATCAGTCCTAACTAAAGGCCCTACATAGAGTTATTAATGAGGTGGGGGAAGGGGAAGAAAAAGTATGTGAAGGAGGAAGAAGGGGGCGCCAGTCGCAGCTTGTTTTCACTTACCCGCCCTGCTGTATGCAACAAGTTAGACGACCTGGCTGATGGTACCACGGGACAGCTAATGTGGCGTGAGATTAGTCCTATGTTCATTTAATGACCAAACGTGCGCTGGGATAATGTCAGATCACCCGCATCTAAACAGGGGGACGATTAGGGCCCTTAACCAAAGCAATTGCTTCGGTTGTGTGCTGAATATCAGCTGTTTTTGGCCAGTATGGATTTTAAGTATAAGCGCTCACACCTCAAAACAACCACGGACTCCGCTGAATTATCCGGCCAATTATTGATGGAAAGCTTCAATTAAGGATTGTTGTTCATTCACGGGTACCCAACTTAACTCATGCGATTGTGCGGGCTCGGTTAGCACCACGCGTCCCGAAGCAGAGGAACCATGCTTATCAAATTCGAAGGGTCCCAGTGGCTAAACCGTATCGAACTGATCTGGTTGGAAATGCACAGACGTGCCTAAAACTGCAGGTAAAATGGAAGCGAGTAAAAGAAATCCAGCGCGAATTCCAACGCGACAAGGCACCCGACCTGGAAGGTGTGCACCCCGCACTTCGCAAAGGTGGTGAAGCCATAGTGAACAGTCTAAAGACACGACTGCGGAGGATTCGGGACAAAACCAGAAAAAACGGAATAGAGTGCTTCCACCGTGATCCAAGCCTTCAGTGCACAAGAACGCCATGTAAAAACCATTGTTGCGTGAACTTGGAGCCCTCCCATCCAAAATGCTCGTACAGGCAGATCAATTATCAGGAGAGACAGATTCGTGAGAATCAAGTTGGGTTTCACCCTGGCCGACGATGTATGGATCAGATCTTTACCTTGAGACAAGTTCTTGGACAGCGCCAATCTTTCAAACGTCCCACATTGGTCCTGTTCTTCGACCTGAAGGCTGCGTTCCACTCTGCCAATCGGCGGAAACTCTGACGATCAAGTGTCCCAAACTTGTTCCTTATGGGGGCGCTGTGTACACCTGTGGGCGCGTACGAGTATACAGCAAGCCGCACCAGTTAATAAACCTTATTTCACTACTTTTGCAAGATGTCTGGTCATGAGTGTCTTCCTCTGCGCTCCGGTCGTGTGTAACGAAAAACCGCCGGACAGCTGTGTCAATGAGCTTACACGTAAAATTAAACGGCCAACGTTAGAGTGTTCACAGTGATCTCTGTACATACACGCTGCATATCTCTGCTTCTCAGGCACCACACACGAACTCCAATCTGCACTGGGTCACCGAAGTGGGTTGTAGTCAACAAGTCAATCAAAAATGTATCATGGTCCACATGAAATCAACATAGGGACTGGTTTTAGGCGATGAGTTAATTAACATCATTACTAGAGGAGGCGTTGACTCTGATGCTTCGTTGTTGTACAACCGAAGTCCATTTAATTATATTTAAGGCCTTTGAGTAAGAGACAGCAGTGGATAGGGAAATGACCTAGTACTGGCCTACTGCAACCACATTGAGATGCCTACATCCCCAAAAGCCCAGGCAGACAATCAAGGGAGAAACTGACAACGCGAAGCCACTGAAATCGATTAGCGGCCATTTTTTGCAACGGCCCTAGCCTAATACGGGGAGACCCTATCCTAGAAGGCGGACTGCAACAACATCCAAACTCCTCTTAGTATATTGCATCCTTCTGTCAAGTCACACACTGTCTACCATTCCACCATTCTGAATGCGGTACAGGGAACAAAACACGTCTCGGCAGACGGTACTCTGGCATGTGTTGCACAATTTCAAACCACAGCAATGGGTGGTGCTGGATGTTTTCCGTGACTGAAGTCTTGATGCGAGACCGAACACCCGCCTTGTGGGTACGCCGCCACGGATTCGTTGACGCCATGTCAGCTATGTTTGAGAAGTCAGTGACCCAAAGATGCCTCAGACCGTCTGTTCGAGGAGGCCGAGTATCGAGACAATACAAGACAGTACTTACTGTAGTCTGGCACAGGCGATCATTAAAACCCAACGACATACCTTCTTGACGCTGAGCGTCAAATGTGATCCAGGCATTAACGTCATTAGACACATTGCTGTCAAGGACAACATAAATATTAAGGAAAAATTCTCCACAACCGCCAATGTTTTTCCTTAAACCACAAGAACCATGTTCATAGGAGGTACCTTCTGAAGCATGATTTTGCGCTTTATAGGCGCAAGGCACATGCCGAAAGATGGTATGACGGTTGTCAGTCTATTCAACAGTGTTTGTGCTTGGCGTTCGTTTTCAAAGATTAGGACGACGACATCTGCAGACCACTAAGGCCCTCATTAGAAACGACTTGGATCTCGGGGTTGTGAGGACCCTCAAGTGGTTGCTTTATTACTTGATCGACGATGAAGCTGAACAAATATGGAGTGGACATACCTGTCGGACACCACTTCCTACAGAAATGGAAAAACCTTTTGATCAGGAATGCAAGAAGAAACCTTAGCAGAGTGCATGGCAAAATCCTTGCTTTTACTGTGAATTGCTAGGTTTTCGCACTCATCCAACACAACAAATTATCGTTGTACAGCCTTGTTACTATGCTTATTACTCACGAAATGTGTTCCTAGTTCAGAATTGGTGGAACCCCCCTCCAAGACCGTGTAAGACCCACACAAGGGGTGGTCCGCGGCTGGAAAATGGCGAGCAAACATGCTATCCAATTACCTAAGTGGGGCCAGTATGCCAAATACCACAGGTCTGACGTCGTGCGTTTTGCCCTTATTTTGGCGGCCAATGTTTGATTTGAAAATATTGAATAGTTTGTCGTGAAAACAGGAAATAATAGGGATTAGTCGGCCTTGAGTGTACCGGTAGTCCACATGGAATCCACTCATCCAGTTCAGTCAATTACCTGCAACTCTGTATTTTGAAAGAGATTGTGGGACTTTATCGAGGGCATTATTAAAGCCTGAGGACATCACATCAAAGCAAATAACCAAGTCCAACGCGGCTGCTGATTTTCTGCTCTCCACCAGAAGACTGAGGACAGGATTTTGCTTCTTGGAATCCGTGTTCACCGAAGGAAGTGAACCCGAGATGGCTTAGTGGCTAAGGTGAAAAATTACTGACCGGGAGGCCGGTGGTTCGAATCTGACCTCAGAATCTCGACTGTTCCTGTCTAGGTTCAGACAACTTGACAGTACCTCAGACATCACGCTTCCTTTGGGTACCAAGGGAGCTGGGCATCGAAAGGGTGCTACAGCTGAGCGATTAAGGATGAACTTAAGCACCCTAGACACATCGGATGAACAACTCCCTGGAAATTCACAGTTGGACGAGGCCCGTAGTTCGCACGACCATATTTGTTCCCATTCTTCCTTTCGTACATCGGAGATCTGTCCGGTGTTCAGTGATGGGCGGGATGTAACAGTCAGTAAAAAGGGGATTTTCTCCTTGAGGGACAGAAACGGAGAACCGACAAATGACCCAACAGTGGTATCTGAGGTTTACAGAGAACACTATGCGTGTCTATACTCATCCCCAGCGTCCTCGTCACATCCACTCTTGTCAAGGCGGAACTACGAACAACCCCTAACCGACTTGGTCTTCACGGTGGAGGACATTCGTCAACTCTTGCACAGGATCAACCCATACTGCGCGTTGGGGCCCGACGAGGTCCATCCAAAGATCCTGAAGGAAACGTTCTCCACACTGGCAAATCACTTACACCTGGTGTTTCGTCAGTCGCTTGACAAAGGCCGCCTTTCCTCTGCTTGGAAGGAAGTGACTGTCACACCAATCTACAAAACTGGTGACCGACTATCGCCTGGCAGCCACAGGCCTATAAGTCTCACTAGCGTGTCATGCAAGGTGTAAGAACACATTCTAAAGCGAGCTATCCTAGATCACCTTACTTCCAGCAGCCTGATATCTCCAGCTCAACACGGATTTCTCCCAAGCCGCTCTTGAGTGACAAACATGCTCGTGTTTGTGGACAGCTTAACCCAAGCCAAGGACGAAGGACTCATATCAGATGCCATATTTTTCGACTTCTCAACAGCATTTGATAGGGTCCCACACGTCTCGCTGCTCCACAAACTCGAGTCTTACAAGATTCAAGGGAAAATCCTTCGCTGGATCAATGCGTTCCTATCAGACAGGTCATTCCGAGTGAGAATAGGCTCAACCTATTCCTCTCCAGCGCCGGTCTCCATTGGAGTTCCTCAAGGCTCCGTCTTGGGACCACTCCTGTTTCTGATCTACGTCAACGACCTCCCAGACGTTCTTGCGAGTCCATGTTTACTTTTTGCGGACGACTTGAAATCCTGGAGTTCCAATGCCAGTGCCCTCCAAATGGATGTAGACGCTGCCAAGCAGTGGTCGTTGAACTGGCGCCTTCCTCTGAATGATGAAAAGTGCGTCCATGTGTCGTTTGGAGGGGATTCAGCGAATGCCTTTGTTATGCATGGTGAAAAGGGACCAGAAAAATCATGAGGATAGATGCCAAAAAAGATTTGGGCATCTGGGTCTCCTCAAACTTGTCCTTCTCACTACACCATGAGAAATCGGCCCAAAAGGCATTCGCCATTTTACGGATGATCCAACGCACCTTCTCCCGTATTACTCGCATGGACTTCCAAATACTCTATGGGGCATTCGTCAGACCGCCCCTATGGTGCGCCAACCAAGTTGTCTACTCAGGACGCACGAAAGACGTCGCCCTCACCGACCGTGTCCAGCGAGCCGCTACGAGAATGGTTGCCGGCCTTAAATCCGTGGACTATGAAACGCGTCTCGCGATGCTCTTTCCCCTGGAGTACCATCACCTCCGAGGCGACCTAATTATTACTTATGCCCTGTTTGAACAAAGCTTGACACCGTTGACCCAGCAAACATACGGTGGGACATAGTAAGATTTTCAAGCTGAGTGTACACATTCATTAGACAAATTTTTTTTCTCAGTTCGGGTAGCAGCTGCGTAGAATGACCTTCCTCCGACGGTTGTCCACGCTCCTTCTCGAACCCAGTTTAAAGCACTATTAGATATTTATTTATGCGAATCCTCGCGCTGGCAAGCATACTGCCCGGCGCTGAGAACATAAGGAGCAGTGCTACACCCTTTTTTCACTTGTGCCTTTCAGGTGAACGACAGCCACTGACCGACAAGAACAAAACCGAAACGGGAAACTTGGGCAAAAACCTCGATCCTGTGTATCAATCCGTGAATTTAGCCTAGACCAGGAAGAGGAGATCAAGTTCAAAAAAGCGCTTGAGCAGTGTTATAACAGCCACTGTCCATGCCACAGCTATTGTATGTATCAATCCGTGAATCTAGCCTAGACCAGGAAGAGGAGATCAAGTTCAAAAAAGCGCTTGAGCAGTGTTATAACAGCCACCATGCCACATCGATCCTGTGTATCAATCCGTGAATCTAGCCTAGACCAGGAAGAGGAGATCAAGTTCAAAAAAGCGCTTGAGCAGTGTTATAACAGCCACTGTCCATGCCACAGCTAATTGTATGTACTCGCCCATCACAGAACACGCAGGGAATGGTCTTGGAGCAATGGATTATCTTTCCACAGCCATCCAAGAGCTTGAGTCGCAAATAACAACCGATTGGGGTCGAATCTGGTAGCTGTCATAGGATTCTCGCACATCCAGTCGTGAAACTGGAAATAAATGTAATTTTTGGGGACCACCTATCGAAAAGTCCGAAGTAAGCATTACATCGCCATGAATTTCGAAGACTGCCGAACAGCAGTGGAATTGAAGCCCGGGCCTTTGATGGCAGCCGGGCAAAGTAGATGTTTTCAATATTCTGATGAATCTTACTAGCTATTATTCTTACGCCCGACTACTTGAAGATATAACCAAGAGGAATTTATATCGTTTGGTATAACAAGAAATGACTAGAGCTAACTTTTCCACTAATTTTCATGTTCACCCCAGTCCAAAGTGCAATAAGTGGTCCACTCAACCCGATGTTGAGCTGTTCAGATTGCCCGTTTCAGGAACCAGGAAGCCACCATCCAAAAATATGACTACATTGCCAACGCCGCCACTAGGTTTCCCTTTTTCCTGGAGTGAAAAGAAGAATAGGCGCTAAGTAACGATGTAATAGGGTCCGATACGAGGAGCGACTGCACAACTGGATTAAACAACTAATTCTCCAAAATGTACTTCAGCGCTTCTTTGTCAGGCTTCATAAACTTCAATCCCTCTTCGGTGTTTTCAGATGGAGACAAAGAATATTTGTGCACATCAGCTACCCTATAGGCCTGAAAGTCAGGAGTTCATCTAGCCGAATCAGTGAAACCTACTATCACAGCAAGGACCAATGTACATAAGGTCCAACCGACCATAAATTGGTTGTAGAAAGTATTACGTTCCTTGTAGGTTTTCGCCCAGTCTCCGGATGGGATGGGAATTTCATCATATGTCCCGTTTGGAAATCGCATGGGCACGTGTCCACCATGGTGACGAACATTAGCCACGCCAAGAACCACTGAAGCAAATTATTCAGAATATATAACACAGACGATACCTTTTGTAAGCCTCCCACTGACTGTATCTTTAAAAATGCGTCCTAACATATCCAGGACGAAGGACGAAATCCGCTGCGGAGGAAGGATGCGAAGGGAGAGGCACCTGGGTGGATAAAAATTTGGCGATTTGATTGGCTACAGTGTGTTTGGGACCTTGAAACCGATTTACAGCACGAGCTAGAGTAACCGTCACAAGAAAACCGGTTGTTCGCATTCAGTCGAAATCCAGGTAGGGATAAGATAACGGGCAAAAAAACCGACCGAATAAATCACAGTTCACCGAAAACATTGAGGCAGTGAATGCCATCAGACTCCGGAACATGCTGGACACAACACCGGGGCCGTAGGAATGACTCAGTTGTTTACTTAACCCCACCTGGTAGGGTCGCATCAATGCCGCTGCAATGGAGCGCAATAGGCGACTGGTCTCCCTGAAAGTTTGGCTTCAATAGCTCTCCTGGTCCTTTGTTCCTGCTGCAATACAGTAAGTGGCTTGCGGTGTCGCTGGACAGGATTTTCGAGACATTAATTGCCGGGTTCTTTGACATGTACTCAGGCATCCCTCAAGCTTATCGTCTTTCTGTTTTCCCAATGTACCAGCCACCGGAATTTGATAGAAAAGGTATTCACAGCGGGTGAAAAAATGGCATTGTTCGTCTATGATTACTTTTGTCAAGTCTGTCGTCTACTCTTTTTCACTAATATTTTCGCGGCGTTCATGGATTCACGGATTCCCGAAATGATACACAGGATTGGAGCTTTTGCCAGGGTTTCCCAAATCGGATTTGTTCTTGTCGCTCAGCGGCTGCTGTTCACCTTAAAGACAAGCGAATGATGACGTAGCACCACTCTTTAAGTTCTCAGCACAGGCAGCAAGTTTTCTAGCGGGAGGACTCACACAAAAAAGCGTCTGGTAATGCCTCCAATTGGGTACTAGATAGAGTGAGGAAAGTTATTCCATGCATCAACTAATCGAAATGAGAAAAATTGCTCAATAAAAATGTGCGTTTTTGGCCTGAAAATCTTACTAAGTCCCCGGCTTGTGTTAGCTGGGTCAGCGGTGGAAAACCTTTTGACCAAACCTTGTTCATGCATGGCAAAAGTAAACGTATGGCCTCCTAGGAGAAAACGACGCTCCAGGGGAAGAGGTCAAACACCGCGGAATGTGTTTTACATTTTACAGATTGAATGTCGACAACCATTATCGTAGCAGCTCTCTGGACAGGCTCAATGAAGATTACGTCCTTCGTGCGTCCTGAGTATGCAACTTGGTTAGCATATTCAAGATGTGGTCTGACGTAGGCCGTGGTCATGTTTGAAAAGAGCCAGATACCCTAACCCTATTTGGCATTTAATCTCGTAATGTCTTCTGGTCCATTCACACCAGACACGAAAATGGCTTTCGCTGCGTCTTTCCCGGATGATGTATAAGCGCACTTTTTATCACTCACAGGAAAGAGTTGGCCAAAAGACCACTACTTTGCAGAACCTACATCCGTTAGGAAATCGCTGGCATTGGTACTTAAGGATTACAAGTTGCCGCTTTAAGTAAGCATAGACATAAAACGACGTCTGGTAGGTCGCTGACACAGGTGAAAAACAGTAGTACCCAAAAGAAACCCTTGAGGAATTCTAATGGAGACCGGTGCCGGAGAAGAGTAGGCCGAGCCTACTTTCACTCGGTATGCTCTGTTTGTTAGGGACGTAAAATTTTCCCTTGAACCCTGTAAGACGAATTTGTACAGCGGGGGAACGTGTGGGACTCGATCGCGTGGTTCCGAGAAGTCGAAAAGTATAGCATCGGATGTGAACACTCTTGCGAGAGTTTGACCCGATTGCAGCAACATACGCTTATCATTCTTTTTTTCCTGTACAAAATCCTACCCATACTTCTCGGTGACGCTGCTTCGATAGCTTCTCCCGAAACAGAGCTAAGTCGTTTTGCAGGCCGCCTTCTAGAGTCTCATCGAAGCTTTTAAGGGCTGCTTGAAACAAACCCTGCGCCACGCTTTACTTGTAGGTTATTGGACGGAAACTTTTGAAATCAATGTATTTTCGTGTCTCATTTGGTCTACAAAATGTCAGCATGACGGATAGCCCATCCTTGGTTTTTACCATCGGAGCACTCAAGAAGTGGAACCACCCTCCTTGATCGCTTTCGACTATGTACGCACAGTTGGTTTTTTACTGTTTCACGCATTATAACACCCACATTATTATCCGATACAACTCACACGCCAGCACAAAGGGCGCGAATTTCCGCTTTCTGTATGAACTGATGCAATTTCCATGCTCCGTGACGCTCATAAAAAAATTAGAAAACTTTACTCTACTTTTTCCATCCAAGCGATGCCCTCTTGGGCTGGTTTTTGTGTGCAGTCACCGAATAAAATTGGGATATGCCCGACAATTTTGAGGAAATTCTACGTGGCACCCGGCTTAGAAAACGCCATGGAAATGCCAAAAGTATTATAATCCGGGGCTGACATGAGGCTATTAAACGCGAACCCGCTTTCGTTTCCTGCAAGTATTTCCTTGAACTTTTGTCAGTCTCCAGTGTACTCCCGCCCATGAATTTCGTTTTTCCGCACAAGCATGGATTAGCTTCGGAAGAATCCGCTTCCCGGTCCGCGCGATCACAATTAACGTTTACCCCAGGATCAGTTATACATTATTGTCTTGGTGTGCTTTAGAAAAGTTCTGTAACCGGGACTGAGGACGGTTGCATCCAAGGGGGTCGCAACCAATACATGCACGTAGGTTGTAAATGGCGTTATTTCGCCTTTCTTAATTCTGTGCGTTTAAATGCTACATGTCTTCTAATTTTATGCTATGTTTTACTCGTACACGAAACTCAGCCCTCACGCAAGCTAGGGCTGCTTGCCGTGATTTCGGAAGATGCCAGGCTGGGGCTCCCAAACCGACGAAGTTAATCAGCCACATCCAGCTTCCGGAAAATCAACCAATTCCCCAAGACCAATATCAGCAGGTCCAACAGGAGGGAAGCAGGATTCTTCAACTTGGAAAAATATTTTTACGCCTTCAGGCTGTACCAAAATTTTTTATGCAACATCGATCCCCCTTTTGCTTGCGATTTCGAATACATTTGATTTAGCTTTGGGGATAGAGCGTGTGACTAGCGTGGTGACGATTGCACTACTAAAAACATTGACTTTTCTTGTGACCATTTCTTTCTCCTCTCAGAACCTGTCCAGGACGCCTGTTGCCTGATAAGATATCTGCTGCTCCCTCATATTTGCATTCCTCGCCCACTCGCTCCATGCCCCCTGGCTCTAACTATCGCCCCACTCCTGTTAAGCCCCATCAAAAGTCAGCCTGCAGCACTTCAGTTTTTCAGTATGCGTTCGTGTTTGGCCATTAGTGTGCTACTGAACAAGTCCTTTTGTGATAAACCACATTTCAGTGTTATACGTTGCCAGTATATAGTAAATGAATATCCTGAAAAAACATCTTCAGTTCTAAGATGGCCTCAACACACTTGGATTACAGGGTGCAGTGCTTATCTGCTTCAGAATTCAGTTCTGCACTCCCCAGTTGCGAACTGTACCGGTTTTTGACCAGGTACAGGTTTGCCAGAAGGTGTTTTTTGTATTACGCATCTGTAGAACAATAAGTGCGAAACTTTGAGCCAGTGTCTCTGAGCCCGCGTGGAGCTTATTAAACAATCCAAGAAACCAAGATTTTCTGCAGAGGATACTCACGGACTCAGGTGAACCAGTTCTGATTCGTGTGATTGCACTGACTGTATAACATGTTAATCGTGAGTGAGCTCCCTCAAGCAGTAGGAAAGCTTTTCCCTCGCAGTGTTGCTGGCGAAATTGGATGTCGGTGTGGCGTTTGCAATCTTTCGCTTGTGATCTGTTGCAAACACCCTCTAGATGACCCGAACGCGGTGGGAAGGAAGTTTTTTACCTTTACGGATTAGGCATCGTTGAACGGTTAAATCATAAGGCACGCAGCAAATAGTAGCTCCGACAATGCAAAAACCGCTCAAACAATTTACGCAAAAAATCTACCATGTACACCTAGAGTCTTTAAAACTGAACAAGACTGGTTGAGTGTCGCCAGTCTGTGGAAGTGCCTTGCACCGAATTATTCGTTCCTGTACCGCATTACCGTGAGACCTGATTGTCATTCTCTTGGTTGGTTCAGATTTGAGCGGTTACGTCATGTTGTTTTCAGAAACAAGCTCACCTTTGTCGGTTACCTCTCTTCTACGTAGATAGATGTATATCAGATTTCCCATCCCACTAAAACCCACCTGCGTGTATTTTATCTTCCAGATTAGTCAACTCGTGTTGTTTTGCATGGTAACATTGAATTTGGTCACCATCAAATTGCGCGGAACAATATAAATTATTAAAATGTTCCTCTTTCACGACAAGAGTATCAAGGATTATTTGATTGAAGTGCCGCTTCGGCCCGTTCTTTGTAAAAATTTGCCGGAACTTTTGGTGCAAAGTTTTGTCCCTTGGGTATCTGTCGCGTATGTGACCTCTGATCTGTACGCCGCTTTGGCTTTGAAATGTCAGATATGTTTGGAGGCTTGATACTTGTATAATCTGCATGACCAGTACTCCCTTCAATGGACCGTAACTGCGCCGCGTTGAGAGCACGGCCCCGGAGTTCACATTTTCTTTCAATCCCTTCACCTCTGCATGCTTTGAAACGCTGATTTTTTCAAACCCATCTAGTCCATTTTGCACCTCTATCTAAGCAGCGCGCAATGTCAGACGGCCACCCAGTTCCACTTTTTTTGCTAATGTCAACCGTAACCCTTCACCGGTGGCATGTTTCCCCCTCCAGCTCCCTGAGTTACCTCCATAATAGGTATTTGAACAATGTCTATGCCAAACTGGCGAGTGGCATGCTTGCAGGCTTCATCATAATATACATTAATGAACGTTCTCAACAACTGTTTCTGATGGAACTTCAGAGCTCGCTTCCATGCCGTAGCAAACTACCATACATTTTGAGCCCTTCTCCCAGACCACACGTCCCTCAGCATTACACGCAGAACTAGTGTTTCTTTGTATTATACTACTCATAAGGTTGCTGAAAATCCGTCGACAGCCCACGACCGGTTTCGCCCTTTTTGGGGCTCACCAGGTAGGCGCAGTCCCCAGGTTTTCGTCAACCTTATGTTCTCCTGGAACCAAATTTCACGAAATTAGCGAATATACACTCAGTTGCAAACTAATTTGTTTTTTTTTCGGGAGACTCACCTGGAACCCAGCTGAATCTCCCGTTTGTGGTGTTCTAAGGCAACTGAATGTGCTGCACCAGGCAGCCTCATGTTTCAGTAGCAAATGAGTGTATATTCATTAGTTGGAATTTACTTTTGTTTGGAACGTGGTGGTTAATACCGTCTGCCCTCACATCTGCCCTTGCAAGCAGGCTTAAAGGACGACTTCATGATCAACTGTGACGTAAGTGATGAACCACCCAGCCAAATCATCTCCCTATATCCATATGAAAACATCCGTTTGCCCTAATTGCTGATCGCCATTTCACACTATTCCCACCTGAATGTTGTTCG